AATCATCATTGATTGGCCCCCTGCATGCCCCCAACTGGGGATCGGATCAAGCCTGCAACCCAGGCATGTGCCCTTGACCGGAATCGAACCTGGGATCCTTCAGTCCAAAGTCTGACGCTCTATTCACTGGGCCAAACCAGCTAGGGCTGGAGAAACCTCTTGACTGCTTGACAGTCTAGGGCAGCGGTTCTCAACCTGTGGGTCACGACCCCTTTGGGGATCGAACGACCCTTTCACAGGGGTCGCCTAAGACCATCGGAAAACACATATATAATTACATATTGTTTTGTGATTAATCACTATGCTTTAATTATGTTCAATTTGTAACAATGAAATTGGGGGTCACTACAACATGAGGAACTGTATTAAAGGGTCGTGGCATTAGGAAGGTTGAGAACCACTGGTCTAGGGGAATATCAGATCTGGGGAGGGGGAGGGGCGTGTCCTTCTTGCCACCCAATTCCTGGTGGTGGAGATGGGGCAAGACCTGATTGTGGTGGCACCTTGTCCAGCTGGGGGCCTGCACTTGAGTCTGGGGTTTTAGGGAGCCACCGGAGAGGTTAGAACAGGCAAGAGGGGTTGAGCATGCTAGGTGCTGCTCAGAGACTCATACTCATATTAACTTGATACCACAGCTCTACCGGAAGGGTGGGGCTGTTCATATCACCATCGAATAGTTAGGGAAACGGAGGCACGGAGCAGGCAGTTTACTACAGAACTCAAGGGGCTCACCACTTGGGGTGCTCTATTAAAAAACAAGACTGGGGGGGGCGGTAAGAGATCAACCAAAGGACTTGTATGCATGCATATAACATAACCAATGGACACAGACAGTAGGGGAGTGCAGGCATGTGCTGAGGGGTGGGAGTGGCCGGAGAGAGGTCAATGGATTCTGGCAAGGGCACATGCCCGGGTTTCGGGCTCAATCCCCAGCAGGGGGCGTGCAGGAGGCAGCCGATCAATGATTCTCTCTCATCATGGATGTTTCTATCTCTCTCTCCCTCTCCCTTCCTCTCTGAAATCAATAAAAATATATATTTTTTAAAAAAAGGCGACAGGATGGTCACAAGGTAGTTTTGTTTACTTGCAGCAAGAAAAAGAGCCAGAGGACTCCTATCCAAAGCTCTGCCTCCCCAAAGGGAGGCTGAGCCATTGCTTTTATACATGATTTGGTCAATTCCATGTTGATTTCTTCTTTGCAGTTGGCTACACTTATGGGTTGGGTTCCTGTCTAGTTTATCCTGTTTACGACCGGTTTACAAAACACTGTGCTATATATTTTACCATTTCCAAGAATAGCGTTTAGTAAGAATGGCTCAGACCTTGAGACCCTTGTCCTATCTAACAATTCCCCCAGGAGATTCTTTACTCCTCATTTTTGAGGGAATAGGGACAAGGGTCATACTTCTGTAACTTTTCTGCTGAACACGGACCAAGTATGTCTTTGAGTTAGAGGAGTGAAATTATCCGGCTGCCTGACTTAAGAAAGCCATGGGGTCCCCTAGGTTTTGAGATTCCTGAGAACAGGAATGGATGGAGAGAGAGCACTACGCTAACAGGAGACAGGAGCCATTAGAGGTGAGGCAGAAGGAAGAGGGGGGAAAGCAAGGAAACTGAAATCCTGCCGCTTGTAAACTCACACTCTGGTGGGGATCTAATGAGCTGGACAGACGGAATAGCGTGACAGCTTCCCTAAGATGTCAGCAAGCTAGGTCGTCTGCCCAAGACTTTGAAGGACAGGTGGGATCCGGGCAGGATGAAGCACGGTCACTCCAGAGCGGGTAGGGATACCAGATATGACAGCTGCACTCAATATCCAGTCGGTGCCCCATGGTTTTTCAAGCACAGAGATGCTTGCTACGTGGCCGAGTGAAGAGCTGCGTCTCACAAGGCGCCTTGGCCTGGGGAGGGGGCCAGTTTGGGAGGAAGTCCTGGCACAGCCTTCTGAATCAGCTGCGCACCAGAGAAAAGCCCCCCACCCCACCCCGTGGTGGCAGGAGGCACTCCCGGGGACCACAGACTCTGTGTGTGCATGTGCAAGTAAGGTCAGACACCTGAGGCCGCGCTGTTCAGGCCCACACAGCACAAGGCCCTCCATAATCAGACATCCTGCTGGATACCATCCCCTAGGAAGCCAGCTACACAGCTGCAATTCAGAGACTTAAAACCCTTCTGAAAATCAGGATACGGGGAGAAAGCACTCGCTACCGCTTTGTCATCCAAACCGACTGCCCCGTAGGCGCTGGGATGAGCCTTGAGACGAGCAGATCACCTGAGGTCCATAGAACCCGCAATTTCCATCTTTCACGGACTGTGGCTCCTCCACCCCTTGTCCCCAGTTGGGAAACGTTAGGAGCTCAAGTCTAAGAGTGAAGGCAGGAAACAGCTGTGGAAACAGGTTGTAATGAAACAGGAGGGAAAAGTAAGGAGAGTCGGCAATGCCATGATTAGCTGCTCACAGGAGGCACCGAGCACCCTCCCCGCCCCTCTGGCTGCAGACGCCCACATTAGCAGAGTCTCCTACCGCAGTTACAGACCCCGGCTCCTCTCAGTGCTCCGGCGCCTGGACTATTAGAGAAGATGAGCTGAGAAGGCCTCCCCAGGGCTTGCCCCCATGTTCCCGACAAATGGGACCGTGAGAGGCAGGACAGGCCCAGGATGCCTGGTTTAGGAGCTTGCCTCGCGCCACAATTCAGACCCAACCTGCTAAGAGGAAGGGTCAGGGTGGTGTGGCCTCCCTGTATCTGACTCCCTCCCAGATCACACCTTAGCAGGGCTGTGTTCTGTTCCTAAACTCCCATGGTGCCTCTGGCTGTGACAAAACACTGGGCTGCGCCACCTGGGGCAAGTGCCTGGGTCAGCCCACTCCACTGGCAGCCAGAGGCTCCCAAAGCCACAGGGGCCTGTGCCCGGCTGAGTGGGGGCCACTCCCCAAGGAAGAGAGCCCACCCTTTTGGCTTCTGTGACTCAAAATACACACATGAGGTTGATTCTACTCGCTTCATGTTGCAAGTCCATTAAAGCTGACTCAAGCTACTTTTTTCTTTTAATGTCAATTCTTTTTTTTTAAATATGTTTTTAATGATTTTTTAAAGAGAAAGGGAGAGGGAGAGAAACTTCAATGTGAGAGAGAAACATTGATTGGTTGCCTCCCTTATGCATCCCAACTAGAGATCAAACCACAACCTGGGTATGCGCTGACCGGGAATCGTATGTGGCCTCCTGGTGCATGGGACGATGCCGAATCCACTGAGCCACACTGGCTGGGCGAACATCTCTTTACACCAATGAGACTCTTGAAGAGATGTGGCATGTAATTTTTTCCCCTTCAGAGGAAGAAAAGTAGAGGGAGTCTTTTTTTTTTTTTAATTGATTTCACAGATGAAGGGGGAAAGAGAGAGAGACAGACAGACAGACACATCAATTGGGAGTCTTATTCAGACAGCTCAGGGATAAAACCAATAATTCTTCCCATATGATCCCAAGCATATATCTTTACATCGTGAGCCATAGATTGGCCCCTGAGTCCCACAGCCAAACCTTTGCCGCTCTTGCTCGTCCCAGATCACCCCCACTGGGAACCAGGAGCTGATTTACTGGGCCTCCTCAGTGGAGGAGGTGCGGCCTGGTCTGATGGGAACCTCGTGGTTGTTCAGGGAACTGCTGGGGTGCCATTCCCATTCCCCACCGAGCTCCACCCTGGCTGCAGGAGCTCCAGAAAGTGCCCTCCTCGGATGGAGCAGAGCAGGAGTGGCTGGAGAGAAGCTTATATGTGGTCAGCAAACGTTGAAACTCGAATAAACAAAAAAACTGCACTTAGAAGATCACGCCTCCTAAATCCAAAATGGAATCCCAGCCTTGAGCAAGGCTCCCTTACACAGGACCGGCCGTCTCCTACCATTAGTCCATGTGATATATTTCTTCATGTATTTTAAACGCTTAATTTATTTAAGTCAAATAAACCAAGCTCTTTTTATCCAATTCTTCAGAATGCAACCCACGAGGCTGCATTGGGGGATCAAATTTGAGTTTCCCACAGCCGACACTTTTACATATAAGGCGAACAAGGCAAACACCAGTGTGCACACAAAGACCAACATCTCACTCCTGCAGGACAGACAGCCAGACAACCAGACCAGAGATTGCCACCCAAGGATGTCTTGGGTGCCTCACAGCGTTCCTCAACCCTCCAGAGTTAGCCCCAGGCCAGGCCTTGAATCTGGCGTCCCAGAGGTAAGTTCCTGCCCAACCAACCAGAAACCAAGCGCATACCAACCGAAACTATCTTTCCGACAAGCCTATGCCCCAAACAGGAACAGAAACACCAATTACAGTGACCACAGGAGCTGATCTCCCGCATCCCTTCCCAAGTGCTGAGTGAGGTAGATTCAGGTGTCCATTCGGCGTTGCTGTCCAGGCAGACCAGGCAGCCGGCTCAGTGGGCAGCACCAAGTGGGAGCATCCTATGGGACAGATGCTTCGTCCGGTGGAGATGCAGGCAAATTAGTCCCGGATGAGAACTGCTGCTGCTGACCACGTGGCCAAGTGTCCGCACAAGGCCAAGAGGAAATTCTTTTAGAAGGGTCCCATCTGAGTTGCCAATTTGGTACCGAACTCAAGGGGTTCACCACTTGGGGTCTCTATTACAAACATGAGAGGGCCCGACTGGGTGGCTCAGCAGTTGAGCATCAACCCAGGAACCAAGAGGTCGCTGGTTCAATTCCTGGTCAGGGCACATGCCTGGGTTGCTGGCTTGATCCCCAGTACAGGGCGTGCAGAAAGCTGCCGATCAATGATTCTCTCTCATCATCGATGTTTCTTCCTCTTCCTTCCTCTCTGAAATCAATAAAAATATATAACAAAAGAAATACATATGTATATTGATTTGTAACCTATCTTTCTTAGATAAATGTTACTGTACTATCCACATTTTTCTCTACCTTCCTTTTTTACTTAATATATTCTAGATGTCATCATGCTGTACAATAAATAAGATGTTACTTATCACTGTCCGCCTCTGCTGGCCTGGTTGCCCCTCACTGCCCCCCACTGCCAACCTGTTCACTCCCAAATGTCCCCCCGGTGCTGGCCTGGTCACCCCACGCAGCCTGTTTGGTCATCGACCTGGTCACTCCCAAATGTCCCCCCCTGCTGGCCTGGTCACCCCACTGCAGCCTGTTCGGTCATTGTTTGGTTGTTTTGACTGTGACAGTTGCTTAGGCTTTTATATATATAGATGTTTCTATCTCTCTCTCCTTCTCCCTTCCTCTCTGAAATCAATATATATTAAACAAGACTTGGCTGTCACAAAGTAGTTTTATTTACTTGCAGCAAGTAAAGGAGACAGAAGATTCATATCTAAGGGAGGCTTAGCCATTGCTTATATACACTATTTGGTCAATTACATGTTGATTTCGACTTTGCTGTTTGCTATACTTGGGTTCCTGTCAAGCTTCTGTTTACAGTTGATCTGCAAAATACTGTGCTACATTTTGACATTTAGTAAGAATAATATTTGGTAAGAATGGCTCAGACTTTGAGACCCTTGTCCTATCTAACAAGTTGGCAGAGTCTAGGCAGGTTCCAGGAGCAGTTGGCAGTGGAGGCCTTGGGCAACTTCTTGTTTTTCACCAGGAGAGGCTGACCCTGTGCTGGGGGTACTGCCAATGCTGAGGCCCGAGGTCTGAGGGAGGCCCCATCCCCAGCCACCCCAGCTGCCCGGTCATGCCAGCACTCAGACTCCCATGCCAGGCAGGTGTGCCCATCCCATGCCAGGCATGCCCATCTCTGCTTGGGGTCCAGTTGCAGAGGGAGAGGCCCAGATGGGAGGGAGCAGCAGCCCATTCCTGTTCCCCTGGCCTTAAGGCTCAGAGAGGGAAAATTACTTGGCTCAGGCCACACCACCAAGGGACTGTTCAGACCCTGAGCAGTCCTAGAAGGGGGATGCAGAGGGCCTGGGGCCACCTGTCTTTTTAGGGAAGGAGTGGGGGGAAGCAGGGGTGGGTGTCTCTCCAGGGGTAGGGATGAGACATGCCCCCACCCCTGGTTCAGCTCCCCCTTGTGGACATCCTCGGGGTAGGGGGGCAGGAAGGCTAAGTCACTGGCCTCCATTCAGTATCAGAGATGGCACTTCTGTGGGGGTGCCCTGGACCACACGCTCTGTGCTGACAGCAGCCAGCTGCTTCCAGAGCCGGTGATGAGGGGGCTGCGGGTGCAGATGGTGCTACAGGGGTGGGGGGTTCAGAGTGGGAAGGGTTCGTGGGGAGGGAGGTACCTCAGGATTCATAGGGGGCTGCCTGGTAGATGAGAGGGGAGAGGGTTTGGCAAAAGCGGGGAGGCTCAGGGAAGGGTTAGGGGATTGGAGAGGGAAATCGGGGATCCCAGAGAGGCTCAGGAGAATCTGGAAACAGAAGGTGAATCTAGCTGTGAGGGAAGGAGGCCTGGCCATCCTGGCTGGCCTTTCTTTGGCTCCTGGGCTGCTGGGCCGTGGGCTGGTAATTCCCCACCTTATTTGCCAGCTTGCTGTCAGGCAGTGCCAGGTCCCAGGGTGGATGTGGAAGGTTGAGTGGGGGCTTTTCCACAAACCCCCAGGGCTGCCCCAGCCTGGGGTCTTCCCCTCCTGCTTTCCACCCACTCCCAGGAACCCCAGAATCGCCACCGTGGTGCTGGGGGCCTATGACCTGAGGCATCGAGAGAGTTCCAGGCAAACATTCTCCATCAGGAGCATCCGCAAGAATGGCTACCATCCTCGGGAGCACTTGAATGACCTGCTGCTGCTGCAGGTGGGAAAAGGGGTGACACGGGGTGGGCCAGTAACAGCCTGAGGGGCTGGGGAGAGATGCGCCTGGTGTACACCCGGACTCTTTTCGTTTCCTTCGGTGGATTAAATCATGCAGCAAAGTCCACAGACATCCCACAGTCCATTTATTTAGCCTCCTGTTGGTGGACACTTGAGTTGTTTCCAGATAGAATTACAATGAACTTCTTTGTATCTGTTCCCTGAGAAAGTTTCTCCAAGGTAGACAACATAGCTTACCCTCTCCACCAGCAGAATCAAAAACTGCCCCTTTCTCTATAGCTGTACCAACACTGACTATCATGATTTTTTATTTATTCTATTTTTAGGAATTTCCACATTTTTAAAAATATTTTTTTATTGATTTCAGAGAGGAAGGGGGAGATATATATATATGAACATCAATGATGAGAGAGAATCATCGATCGGCTGCCTCCTGCACACCCACTACTGGGGATGTGCCTGCAACCCAGGCCTGTGCCCTTGACTGGAATCCAACCTGAGACCCTCTGATCCGCAGGCTGACACTCTATCCACTGAGCCAAACCAGCTAGGGCTGATTATTCTTTTATTATTATAATTATTAATATATTTTTATTGTTTCAGAGAGGAAGGGAGAGGGAGAGAGAGAGAGAAACATCAATGATGCGAGAAACTCATTGATAGGTAGCCTCCTGCACGCCCCACACTGGGGATCAGCCCGAAACCCAGGCATGTGCCCTTGACCGGGACTGAACCTGGGACCCTTCAGTCTGCAGGCCGACGCTCTACCTACTGAGCGAAACCAGCCAGGGCTAGGGCTGATTATTCTTTTTCTGTGGTGCAGGAACCAGAGGCCCAGAGAGGTAAAGTGACTGGGCCAGGATGCCACAGCAGGTTACTGCCCAAGCTGGGACTTGAACCCAAACCACTTTACAGACCAGAATTTATTTTGCTGCCACTCTGGCTCCCAGCTGGGCCCCATGAGGCTCCAGTCCCTCCTGACTTGGTTCCCCTCCCCAGCTGGAGGGGGAGGACAACTTCACCAGCAGTGTGGCCCTGGTACTGCGGCCCTAGCAGAACGCCATGGTGGAAGCCAACCCCAGCTTCCGGGTGGCAGGCTGGGGAATCCAATGGCACAGGCCCTATGCCATAGGGGGCTTATCTCCAGTTTCCCAAGGGTCCCCAATGCCACCATGACCCCCTTGGACCAGTGTCACCCCAACAATGTGTGCACTGGCATTTTACCTGCTGGGGTGGCATCTGCCAGGTACAGGCCAGGTGCAACCTAGCATGGGCTCCCCACGGTGGGAGGAGAGGTCTTGAGAGAATGAGTTTCCTGTGGTGGGAGAGACAAGCCTTGATACTGAGTATGGAATTAGAACTGGATGATTAAACATTTGAGCATTTGAGTAGCATGAGAACAGGTGGGGTTGGAACAGGCTTGGGGGTTGCAGGAGAAGGGCTCAAGTTGTGGGGGCAGCTACCAGCTCAGAGATTCTGTGGGAGTAGCGTGGGGGACTAGGCCTGGGGGTGCCCTGACTGGTCTGACAACTGTCCAGGGTGATGGGCTGGTGATGGGTGCCCCTCATCTGTAACGGTCTGGCGTGTGGTGTAGCCTCCTCGATGGAGCCCTGTGGCAGGGGCCCCAACTTCCTCACCGGAGTGGCCCTCTTCCAAGACTGGATACTGGCTCTAGCCAGTTTGGCTCAGTGGATAGAGCGTCGGCCTGCGGACTGAAGGGTCCCAGGTTCAGTCCCAGTCAAGGGCACATGCCTGGGTTTCGGGCTGATCCCCAGTGTGGGGCGTGCAGGAGGCTACCTATCAATGAGTTTCTCGCATCATTGATGTTTCTCTCTCTCTCTCCCTCTCCCTTCCTCTCTGAAACAATAAAAATATATTAATAATTATAATAATAAAAGAATAATCAGCCCTAGCTGGTTTGGCTCAGTGGATAGAGTGTCAGCCTGCGGATCAGAGGGTCTCAGGTTGGATTCCA